TGCTTTTATAACATGAGATAAAAATATATTCTTCATAGATTAGTGAAAGCCATGACCATGATGTGATGATAGAGCTTTAAAAATTTATTTAAAAAAAATGGTATTGTCGTTTGGCAAATAACTGTTCTGTGCTAAAAGCTGCTCTTTTGCATGAGCCTTATGTAACATTGCAGTTAATAACATTTAGTGTTATCGGATGCTAAATGACTTTATCTCAACTACAAAAGCCTGTTTACAGAGATGAGGCAGCCTTGCTGGAGTGCCAGACTGTTAAATAACTACAGGTTGCCAAAACTAAATGAACTTTTCAGCTGGTAATGATGTGCAAATTGCTCTTGCAGATATATGTACGTATTCAAGAAATGCTCACAAGCACAGGGTTGTGTCTCCTTACAAACATTTCTTTGCCTTTGTCCTTAAACCAGCAGTGACGGCGTTAGAACGAATATATCTAGATATATAAACACAGCTATTTTGTGTTATTAATATCTGAATAGTTATTAAATAGCTATTTTAATTTAATTAACCAAGTATCTATTTATTTTGAAGTTATTAGCTTTTATGTTTAAGGGCTATTTAAGCGATATTGTACCCCACTTGGTGAAGTGCAGCCCTAGGTGAGAAGAGCAGCTGTGGTTGTGCCTTAACCAGCTTCCAAATACAACTGTAGTGTAGGGAAAGGAAGGTTTGTGAAGGAATATCCAACCTGTGACCTTGGTGGGCCTGTGCAGATACACTGCTAAGAAGGAGGGGAAGCAAAGGTCTGTTGGTTTCTTTTGTACGTGGGCCTTCTTGTATACGTCTAGTACAAAACTGGAATTAAACTGACACGTCAGTTATGCCAGGGTTTTTTTTATTCTTTTGTTTAATTATTATTTTTCTCTTGAAGCAATAATTTTCTGTAATGTGGCAGCTATGAGGAACTACCTGTGGGTGAAGAGGTCTCATAGTAAACTTTAAATGAGAAGATGATTCCTTAAAGCACATTCAGAAAGGTGTTGGCCCAGGCTTGGAGAGTGCGTTACCCAGAAGCTGCACTTTCTCTCTGAGTGCTGCTGGATCCCAAGAGGAAGCACTGGGTTTCCTGTGCAAAGCTTGCTCCCTTGCCCTGGAGTGTCTCACTTTGCATTTCTTAGCCTGGTTGGGAATTTAGTACAAAGAGCCATTCTTGTGAATCATGTTTTCTTTGCAATTTTGCATTCCAGCTCAGCAATTCATTCCTCCTTTTTTCTAATGGCAAGAACATTACTGGGGTTCACATAACTTTGGAAAAATGGCTAGTTCAGGTTCTTCTGAGGGGCTTGAATGCTCCAGTTCCATTCCATTGGGGGTTATTCTAAAAATACAACTCTTAGTATACCTAATATGCATTATAAGTAGTGAGATGTTCTGACAGTTAATATCCCCGAATTTAAAAGTTTTTCAAAGGTAAATATTTAATGTTGTGAAAGAAAGGCTTTTTCAGTAGTCAAGCTTAAAGCTGATGTTGTGCCTTCAGAGGAATCATGTTCCCATCCTTTGCATTATTAAGTGTCTTCTAAACATTATTTGTATAATCTTAAATGAAAATCATATTTTGGAAATACTATTTTGAACGTTTGAGTGTGCTATAGAGTGTTTCGTATGGGTCGAGTCTGTGTTAGTGTTTAACACGGGGTGCACAGCAACAAACACTCGGGTCTAACCTTTCCTTTCCTCTCTGAAAGGACCGAGTTACTTATGGTTCTTTCATTTCTCATTAAATTTTCCTGAAAACCTGAAGCACTTGTGGTGTTTGCACGGTGTGGGAGAGACGGTTCAGCCGTTCCAGGAGATGCTGAGCAGCCTCTTTGCAGCGGTCCATTTCCTCGCAGGCACGCCGTGCTCCGCTGACATCGCCCCCACTCCCTCTCCCCGAGCTCCGGGGCAGGAAATGCCTCCTCGCAACTGGGGAATCCCTGGAGCTGCGGGGAGGGCACGGCGGGGCCGGGGCTCGGACCCCGGCGGGAATGCCAGGCATTGGCACCGGCGGGGTGCTGAAAGCATCTCTGAGGTTACCACTGGGCTGCAGGGCAGTGGGGTCTGGTGTGTCTTTGCTCTGCCAGTTGCTGAGGTGTGGGATCTGCTGGGACACCTCTGGCCCAGGGCTGGTGTGCTGGAGGAGGGTGCATGGCTGGGGGTGTCTCTCGGCTTCAGGGCAAGGTGGAGCTGAGGGATGCACCCCAGTGCCCGGGATGAGAAGCTCTTTGCCCTTTCCTCTTCCCCATGGTAATACAAATGCTTCCCCCTGGAACTAATCCAGTGTTTAGAACCAAACTTCTGCTTCTTAAAACGCATATCTTTTTCTAAATGATCCGCCTTTGTAAAGTATGTAGTAAAAATGTGAGAAGTGATGGATGGGGAGTGCATGCATTAAGGTATAGACCAAATGTTTAATAATGGTTCTGTTGAGTTAGGCTGCCTGAAAATTGTCAGGCTTTCATTTTAGACTTTTGCCATTGTCCAATAAACCATTTTGAAACTAAGGTTATTTTTTTCCTGAATTTAATTTTTGTTCATTTGGGACTATCCACAACTACATACATTTTTAACTTATAATGCTATTATTACACTTTTTCCTCAAGTTCTTGCAGCCAGCACCCCAGAAAACATAAATTCTATTTAGTATTGTAGGACAGACCTGTTCTAATTTTGTTGTAGGTTTGAACTGCTGTTGAATAGAATAAAAAGAATATAGTTCAATTTTCAAGTTGCAAAACCACATTTAGTATGTGCAATTTAGCAGCTGTTGCAAACACTTGGAGGCATTTCCTTCAGCATTTGAAAATTCCCTATAGCAGTGAGACAGGAGACATTCATTTAGCTTTTCAAGCTTGAAAAATAATTTAACCTTTCCTTAAATTGTATTTTGAAGTTTGGGATTAACTCTGTGCCTGGCTGCACAGATGGCTACATTTTACATATTCCTTTGTCTAGGAAAAAAAAAAAGAGACCACATGGTCAGTTAATGGCTTTAAACACTCCTAGTCCTCATTTTACATCGTCTTAATGGGACCACAGAGATTCTGGGAAGATACTCAGAAAATTGTTGCTTATGGTGTAAGACTTGTAAGATGTGCTGTATTCTGTGTCCTGGAACTCATGAGCTATTTTTGCTTCTGCTTATTAATCCTGGCTAATGAATTTTACAGCTTCATCCCTTAAGATTTAACATTCATAATTTTGGTATGGAAAAAATGAAAACTAAGAGCACCAGTGTATAGAAAATATTTCTTTATTACTGGAATGTGAGGGCTCTTATTTTGTAGTCTTTTAATAGGCAAAATTATCAATGACATGTATTTTTAAGTAGTAGAATCCAAATCGAGTCACTGAAGTGTTTATAAGCCAAATAACCTTTTTAGTCTTTCAGAATGCTTTCTAAGCTTTTTTGCTAGGCACTTTTGGGAAATACCATAGTGAACTGTGAACTACACAAATCAGTTGTGATTGGGAGAAATGATGGAAAATCCACTAAGTCAGTGGTGTGTCACCAGAACAGACAATTATAGCATATAAAATCAGTCATTAATTGGGTATCTTGTGCTTTATAAAGATTTTTTTTTCCAAGTAGGTTTTAAAATAATATCAGCTAAAGGATTGCTAGTTTAACATAGAATCATAGAATGGAATCATAGAATGGTTTGTGTTGGAAGGGACCTTAAAGGTTATCTAGTTCCACCCCCCTGCCGTGGGGGACACTTTCCACTAGACAAACACAGTTTGTGTAGATCTACATGTGGCACATAAAAGAAATCTTGACAGAACCACTTAGTGCTGTACAGTGTTGAGCACTTGTAAGAAATCTGTGAAGTTTATAAAAGGTTATCGCTACAATATGGGCACATGACTCTTTTTTTCTCCATTTGAAAGTACTAGTAAGATTTTTAAGGCTACTACTGCTTTATAATGTAAAGAGGAAGAGTTTCCTCTAGTCTTTTAAGCTGTTACCCTTTTAAACCAGCATGTGCAACTAAATCCATCTGTTTGAAGTTCTTGAAGATAGCTGTAACTGGTAGAATATTTTATGGCTTTATTGCAGTTGCTGCAACAAAAAGACTTCCATTGCAAACTCCGCAGTCACAAAGGTCATTCTTGCTACTATTAGATGGAAATTTTATGATGTTCCTGCAGTTCTATGTGAGTATTGCAGGCCAGGATGGGATGTGGTGGTGTGGTGGTTTGAGATGCTGTGGATCACCATGTTGGAGTCTCTAGTCTTAAATGCTATCAGGCAGGCATTTCTGACAGATACTTAATTCACTTCTATTAAATTGAACTTAAGAACATCTGCAGATGTTGTTTATATATTTTGAGGGTGTTTGTGTATATACATAGGAGAACATGCACCCTGCCTTCCAGTCAGCCCAATCCTCCTTCCCTAATTTGTTCAAGGAGGAAAAGGTTACATTTCCTCTCGATTTTTTAGGGTGTTTTGTTTAGTTTTTTGCTTCCAATGAACTTCCTAGAAAGAAAGACTAAGAGAGTGTTGTAGGAAAAGCACTGTTGGCTGAGAAATCTGGGTACCCTTAAGTAGCATTTCCAGTTCTAAGATGCAGAAGGAGCTGGTATGTGAAGGTCAGAAGTTGCCAGTGTAGTTCATGTTAACATGACATGACGAATGTTGTGTTATAAACACTAGAAACTCTTTGTCTTGCTTGAAATCTGGAAATGTAGTAACTTTTTATGCTGCAATTTGGTAAGCTTGAAGAGTGGTTTGGGATTATTATTTTAAACCTCACAGATAAGGAAGCTCAGTCTGAAACTTCGCAGCCCCTTATTATGGGTGAAATGTATAGAATTCTGCCTTGGCTTCCATTGATTATCTTAATTGCCTCAGGATTATCAGACTTTTCCCAATACCATTACTATCTTTATGACTGCTCGATAGAATACAGAATCTATGTTAATAAATAAAACATTGCCTGTAAATGGAGATGCTGAAAAATTAACTTTTTCTTTTCTTTCTTCTATTTTTTCAGCGGAACCCCTGCCTTTAATGGACTTGTGCCGAAGATCAATTCGTTTTGCTCTTGGCAGAGACCGCCTGCATGACATAGAAATTCTACCTTTGCCTCTGTCTCTGAAAAATTATTTACAGTACCAATAAGACGTCTAGAACCCTCTGGCCTCACGTTGGACTACATCAATGCAAATGGCAGAAAATTGTTTACAGCAAAATATAAATCTTTGTGATGGACACTTAAGTGTTATTTAATTTTTAATATATATTTTTTTCTGATCCAGTGAAAGCAGATCACTGTGGGGGACTACTAAAGAATGTGAAAACGTTGATTTGATTGAGATTCATGTGTTATCTGTTGCCTGTTGTGTTTACAGTCCTGAAGGCCATTATTCTCATCTCTCATACGTTGGTTTATCTTTGTTGCCTCTGGTAAATGCCAATAGAAAATCTGACCTGCAAGATACACTGTCCTGCAGGGCAGATCATTCTTCAATATTGTGATTTTCTTTTTGTCTCCTACACCTTACCCCAACAAATAAAAATAAATTAGCAAAAGAAAATTCTTGACAGTAACTTCTGAAAAATATTTAAACCTTGTCTTTGGTACACAGAGTTGCTGGGAGTTTTGAGTGTTCAGCACTCAACATAATTAGGCCTATACTATCTAAAAGCTCGAATGTTCAAAAAAGCAGATTATTGTCTAGAAGAAGAGTCTGCAGTTTGAAAACATGAGAGGAAAAAAAAGGGTATATGTGTCAGATCAGTTTTTGGACTTGGTAACAGTAAGGCGCAGTTTGTTGTTTTCAAGACCAAATCTAGTCCCTCCAAACTTCTGCAGTTTATAACAAAGTGTTCACTATCCCAAGAATTTAGGATATTCATATTTTAGAAAGCTTGTCACTTTTTTTATTTGAACAAATTTATAATTTTTATGTGGTATGAACTCTAAGTACTTTGTTTTCTTTTTAATGTATGTGTGGTTATAATGTTTATTTATCTGTTTAGCGTCTGTGGAGTTCTCATTTAACTGTTTCCCATCATGGGGTGACTGATTTTGGTTTTTTTCCCACCTCCATCTGAAATGTATCAATTTTTCAGGCTCATCCCATTTTTTAAGATGCTGCTTTCTATTTGCGTTTCTTACATGTTTCAAGTTATCTGCCTGATCAGTTATCTAGTTTTTAAACTGGAAGTTGTTGTTATGGCAGAATGTCAAATGTTTAGACTGAGCTGCCTTCAGCATATTTTAATGTGAATTTACTGATGAATGAGGAGAAAATTTCTAATAAAGTCTACTGTCCAAAGTAAAACTCGTATCTCCTTTGATGAAGTGTTAAATAACATAGTACTGCTCATAGCACAGAGCTGAAGTTCAGTTCCTCCTGCAGCTTTGCAAATGTTTGTGTTCGGCACTTTGGGATCGCTGACAACATCACAGACAACATCATGTCCCTGATTGATCCCACTCACTGTGCATAGAGCTGTACTGCTCTTGCTTTTAACACCATTCTGGTCAGATTCCTCTAAACAAAACCTCAGTTTTGTGCCAAGTTGCGCTTTGGGACTCTGTGCTTTTGAGGTAGGTTGGAATTTGAGTGCTGTGCACTGGTGATCCAGGCAAAACCACTGACCCGCAGATGGTTGCCCTGCTCTCAGTTGCCTCTGGGAACAGAATTACAGTTCAAGCTGGAAAAGAGAAATGTGAGATAAATAGGATACAGCAACACGAGGAAGAGTGGAAGTGACAAGGGCAACGTAACACAGGGATGTAAAAAATTAAATAATAATATTTGTGTGTCTGGGTGCAACTGTGTAAGTTGATGCCTTCTTCAGCATCAGATTACTTTTGGGCTGGCTTTCGCTTAAGGTGAGCAGTACATACTGCATTCCTTACCTTTATCTTGCAAAGGGGAAGAAACTACAGCTAGGGTCTGAATTTCCTACTTTTCCCACTTGCTTTATTTAATTTTTACCTTTTGTCTCAATAGGTATGTAGGAAGAAAGAGCTATAAAGGTATAATAGCTTGCACAGAAGTTAAAATACAGCTGTGTCAAGTGATCTGTCATAAGCAAGGTAAGCAACTGTTCAGGAATGGCCTGATAGGCCTTATTTTTCAACCACTGAGGTCCATTTTAGGTAAGCATTTCCTAAAATTAGTATTTTCCTGTGTGTAACTAGGCTTCATGTTCCTTTGAATAACTGCAGCAACACAACCATTAAGTGTTGTCTTTTCTGTTCCTTCACTTGACCCAAGCCATCAGCTTTTTATTGTTAAAGTGGGAATTGATGTCATAAGATAAATTAATGGTGCGTCTATATGTTAATTAACATTTTACAGTGGCATTGGAATTTTAGTGCCCCTTCTGTGAGGATTTCTCTAAACCAAACATCCTTATTTTAACTTTCAGATGGTTTTTCCTGACACTTACCTGTCTTCCAGGAGTGCTAGTTTTACACGTATAATAGTTTTATTCTTTTACTGTTCCTTAATTGCATGTTGTGATTCTGTGGATGGTAGATACACTCCTTCATGTGGGATTAGGGACCTGGCTTTGGGGATCAGAGTGTTTTTGATATAGTTTTCTTGGTCCACAGAAGCCTTGTAATGAGAATGCACCATGGAGAACATTAATGATGTTAGGTGTTCTTCCTAAGCATCCCTGTACAAATAGATTCTCTTCCAAGAGGGTTCATGGGGAAAACAGAGTGCCCATCCATATTGCTAAGGATGAGTCGAGCATTGAGGCTGAGCAAGTAGTCAGAGTACCTCCTCACAAAATGTTCCAAAGAGAGTCTGCTCTCCGTTGGTGAGCTCCAGCCTGGGTGGTATGTCCCTCACATGGATTCTCCAGGCTCACTTTAGGAGAATGCAAATTTTGTTTACTGTCTGCTTCAGGAGTGAATTGAGCAGTAATTTATAGAGTGGTGATGCATTGGCTTTTGCCCAAATCAGAGGTCAAACACTAAGTTGTTATCATCCTTTAACTAATGCAGTTGAAACTTCTGTCTGTCTATCCTGGCACCCTAAATGCAGGAAGATACCTACCCAGAGGTCCCCTCTCAGGAATATCTAACAGAGAGAATGGTCACTTACTACAAAGCTGTATGACTTTGAGATTTGCTGTGAGATGTCCCTTGCATTTATACTTTTAATTTCCAGCCACTTTTGCCTTTCTTCACATGTAAAAACATAGACAATAGATGTGATGGTTGTCAGCTTTCATGTCCCTGTGCCTGAGCAAAAGGAGTACAGCTTTTCTAGACATGATCTGGAAGTGTTCCCATGGCTGGTAAAATAATGGTAGTAGAAACTCTGTAAAGCAAAACACGTGAGTCTTTATTGTAGTATTTGAAGGAGAAGGACACATGCCTGGCAGCTGAAACCAAATTGCAACCTTTGTGATGGATGTGGGCTAACTAGTGGGTTCCACTAAGAAGTATTTCACCTACTCTTTGGCATTTGGTTCTCTAATGTGGCCCCTTCCTAGGAAGTATTGAAGGTTCAGAACCCCTTCTCTTAAAACTGTGGTTGAGACTCGCGAAAACATGCATCATAGCTTCTTTTCCTTACTTTCTCAGTATTGCCATTATTCACCTTTCTGCAACTTGTGTGAGGGAGGGGGCTTGATTTATCCACCTAGAGGTGCTGCTCTGGTGATCACGATTCATAGGTGCTATAACTTCAGTGACACTCTTAGCTTTTAGACTTCCTAAAGCTGTAATTTTATAACAACTAAATTTGGAGTCAAATTTGAGAAGCCATTGTCCCTTGATGTCACACACATATCCCTACTGCTATGCTGGCAAAGTCTGTGCTATGGAGGCTTTATTTCTGCTTCAGATTGAACCAGTGGGGATGTATTGAAATGTCTGCATTCTCATCCAGAGATAATGTACTACAATCTGTTGGGAAATTGTGAAGTGTTATTTTAGACTTCACATGTAATCTTTCTTGTGTTCAAGTTTTTATATCAACAGATTAACTCAAACTGTTGCTGTTGAGGTAGGACCTAACTTTGCAGCAGTTTCTCAGTGTTCTCTTAAAGCTGGGAAAAGCTGTTACAGAAGCAGACATGTACAAATCATTTGAGCGTTTTTGATAGTTATAAAAGAGCAGCAAGCCAGAAATGCTATAAAATTTCCTTCTCCTCGCCATTGCAGTTGGTATTGTTAAACTATAACCATATGTTCTCATGTCAGTGAGCAGCAATCGCTGCACAGCCAGCCCTGTATCAGATCCAGCAGTGCTCGTTCAGGTACAATTCCCACTGACATCAGCGGGAGATCTGCCTGAGTCAGCACTGCTGCTCTTGGTTCCCATGTAAAGATCTCCAAACATTTCCAATACGTTGTATTGAGCGATACTTTATTATATGTAAGCAATGTCAAGCAGATGGTTTCTGCAGCAGTTTTTCTAATTTGGCAAAACATGCTGGCAAGTGGAGTTAGGTGAACGTTGTGAGAAAGTTGAATGAAAAAATGCATCTAGTTGAGGCTGAGAGCAATATTCAAAGGGGAAGCCAGACTTCTTGGCTCCTTGATGGTGATTTTCAAAAGCTTTTTCATTTATAAACCTTTCGAATCTCGTAGTGGTTTTTATTCTGTATACTTAAAGGAATGTAGGACCTTTATGCATTCCTGTTTATCTCACCGAAGAATGTCTGGTGATCATGAAGTGGAAATCCTTTGTTTGCTTGATTCAAAAAGACACCAAAAGAACTCCTTCCTCCTTGGGAAATGCTCTCTGGAGACATAGAGCCATGGGAAATATTCAACATGCATCAAGCCTGGATGCCCCCCTCACCCCCCTTTTTCTTTTCTTGAGGTAGCAGCTGTTCCTTCAGAGAAGATCTTGGTGTGTTCTGCAGGCAGTGTCGAAAATAAAAATGGTTTGAAGCATCTGCTACAAAGGAGAACACCCTGCTCCTTTGTTGAAGCAAATTTGAATGTACTGTGGTGGGGGCAGAGGACAAAGAAACAGAGCTCAGGAGAATAGTATTTCCTTAAGGGTTTGCCTTATTTTCTTTTTTTTGCCCCATTAGAGAGTACAAGTAAATTTAGAGGGGAAAGAAAAAAAAATTTTTATGCTTCCACACCACCAGGTGTTTAGTGTTGATGTTTAAAGTTTAAGCAGTAGCATCCTCTTTACCACTAAACCTCTTGCACAGCCTTAACATCCCAAAGCTCTACCACTGACTGTACTTCAAAAGCCTCCGAAGGTCTCTGGGCTCTGCAGTTGTATGAAAATAATGCCCTATTGCACATATTGTCCCCTTAGAACTTAATGAGTTAACTTGTAGCCAGAGCATTACTGCTGCTCTGTGATTATTGCTATGGCTGCAGGAACATATGGGGGTACCCAAACGAGCTCACACACTTGCCAAAGAGAAGGCCAGGACTTGGCAGAGCTGAGCCCAGTGTGGGGCAGTGCCTGAGCCCAGCAGCAGCATCAGTGTATCTGCAGCCATTAATCTGTGGCTGAGCTTAAACAGATTGCAATTGGGAGGCATCTTTGCAAATCCTGTTTAAATAGGTGTCAGGATCAGATACTTGTAGTTTCACTTAGGTAGCTGTGAAAATCTGTAAGTTATATAGCCTCTAATCTCTCCAGGTGACAGTAGATGTAAAAGTAGAGCTCATGTTTTTAATAAATCTAACATATTTCGGGGTGCTTAGAGTTGGAACAGCTATGTTCTCGAAGTTTAATGTGCTGTTTCTCTGGCTTTTGAAAGCTACAGCACAAAAGACAGGTGTCTTCAGACTTCTAAGGAAAAGCAAACAACACACACAAATGAGCTGATATTCCTGCCAGTTCTCATGTACAACAATTCCCACTGACAATTTCGAATGGCAGTCATAAGCCAGCACCATAGAGGCACTTAGTTGAGATCAGTATCTTTTTGGTGTTGCCTAGATCAGTTTCCTCCGTATTTATCTATTTTTAAGAAGAAAAAAGTATTAAATAAGGTTATTCAAATTGCAAGGGTAACTTGAAAATGCAGTCTTCTAATGAATAAATTGTTTATATCACACTTAAGACTTGCTTGACAGAGACACAAGTAACTGCTGCACACATACCTGGGAAACAAGTACATGTTTTTAATGGCAAAATGGTTCAGCCTTTTCTCATTATACTGAGAAAATCAGTTTGGCAAGTGCATTGCTTCTCATGTAGCAAAATGTGAACAGCTCTAAGGCATGGGGCCAGAATTTCAATATAGGCATTTGGAAGTGACTTCTCAAGCACAGTAAAAGTGCCTGTGGCATTATTTTGGGGACTGAAGTTTTACCTTATTTGTAGAAAACTTTTAG